CATGCTGTTTTCTTCATGACATACCATTCCTGGAGTTATATCTATAGCCACTGAAACGTCAATCAGTTTCCTTAACTAAACAAGCCCATTGCATTGCTTCATTTTCTTCCTACTACTTTTTTGCACCTTGCTTATATCTTAACCAAAGACTTCAAATTATATTATGTTGTCATATACGTGACGATTGGAGTTTCAGTGTTCCTTAAAATAGGAAAATTTGACTCTTGTAATTCAATTTCTAAACTAGTATTTTGCTTGTACTATTTGTAACTTCTTGAGTTGTCAAATATTTGTTGAAGCTTATAGTCTCAATTCACTCCTGCTTTCTGTCACCGGGGTTGTTGTGTTTAAATAGAAATAGTAGAAAGGCACAGCATTCCACTAAATTGTGCTCACTTAATTGATGCCAAAGTAGTGGCTACCAGGTACATGATTCTAGATTTACAGCATTTAAAATGTTAAAAAAACATGCTTCTGTAGACATCTATCTTGCAGGATTGAAGCTTAAGTCACTCAATAATCAAAGGAGGCAGTTTGTCCCATTGCTGCATTGTCATGGCTTGATGTCAGTGAAGTTCTGGCATGAATTTTTTGAATTTGCAAAAGTAATGAGCTAAAATAAAAGCAAAATATTGCCAGTTATGGAGGTCTAAAATAAAAGGAGTGATTGAAAAAGTCAGCCTCTGTGAAGTGAGAGAGAGAATATTTTGAGTCTAGCCTGACTTTTCTTGAGAACTGAAGAATTAGAAATGAGATGGATTTTAAGCTATTGATGAAAGTGTGTGTTCAGGTGGATGAAAGGCAAGGTTTAGCTATTGTTTTAGAGGGCAGGAAAGATTAAAGATATCACAGAGCAAAAGCTATGTGAATCTTAATGATAGTAATAAAGGAACAAGAAACTTGCTCCAGAGTAAGTATTAATAGTGGAAATGAGCTGCACTTTGAAAGCAAAAACAAATGAACGAGGTGGAGACTAATACTGGGGAAAAACAAATTTTAGAATGAAGGACAGATTTTGTGTTCTCAAGTTGAATTTGATAATGGATCCAGAAGGATGTAAAATAACTACTTGAAAGATGAGGTGCTGTTCTTGGACCTTGCATTGGGCTTCACCAGTACTGGACTGATCTTCTAGGGGTTTGTAGTTGCTATTGCAGTTGGGGTGGGTTTAAACTAAAACGGCAGGGTGACAAAAGAGAGGGAAACAAGGTCAAAAACAAAAGAATGGGAAGTAGAAAAATTGATAGGCAGAGGATTAAAGGGCAAGAATCAACAGGGCCATAGCACAAAATAATGCAATGAGACTAAGAATGTTATAAAGATAAGCCTTCAGGTGTTGTGCCTTAATACATAGAGCAATAAAATGGATGAATTAGACATGGAAATAGATATAAAAGCATATCATATAGGTAGGATTACAGAGATGTGACTGTGGTAACCAGGATGGGAGCTGAATATTCAGGAGTATTCATTATTTTGGAATGACAGACAGAAAGGAATAGGAGGTGGATTAATAATGATGGTTAAAGAGGACATTAACAGCAGTAGTAAGGAAGGATATTAGTTCCAGTGGTGGAATGTATATGGATAGAGCTTAGCAATACCAAGAGGCAGAAAGCAATATAGGGGGTTAAAGTGGTAATGTTGGGGCAGGCATTAAGTAGGAAATTATAGATGCAAGCAATAAACATACTGCTGTAATTATGAGAAGTTTTAATCTGCATATAAATTGGGCGAACTGTATCAGGAACATTAATCTAGAGGAGGAATTCCTGGAGTGTATGTGCGGTAGTTTTCTGGATCAATACTTTGAGGAGTGTATTGAATCTGAGACTGGGTATGGTGTAATGGAAAAAGGAGTAATCGATATATCTGAAGAAAGGTCATTGAACCCAAAACATTAACTCTGATTTCTCTCCATAGATGCTGCCAGACCTGCTGAGCCTTTGCAGCAATTTCCGTTTTTATTTCTGATTTCCACCATCCATGCTGCTTTCAGTTTTTATAATTGACAGTCTAGCTGTTTGAGGCTCCTTGAAGAGTGACCATAATATGGTAGAATTCTTCATTTAAGAAGATACATTTGATTCTGAGGCTAAATAAAAGAAATTACGATGGTTTGAGATGCTAGTTTGCTTTGATAAATTGGGGAACATTGCCTATCAACCATCATCCCTTTAAGTAATGTCAAACATTTAAAGAGTGGATGAAGGAACTGAAATAATTGTTCATTCTTGTCTGTTGTAAAAATAAAACTAGAAAGTTGGCCTAACTATGGCTAAACATGTGAAATTAGGGATAGTATTAGATCCAATAAAAGGGCATACAATTGCTTAAAATAAGCAGCAGACCTAAGGATTGGGAGCAGTTTAGATTTCAGCAAAGGAGGACAAAGATTAAGAGGCAGTATAAGAGTAGTTATGCAATTAACGTACAAACTCATTGCAAAAGGTTCTGTAGGTATGTGAAAAGAAAAAGATTAGTAATGGCAAATGTAGGTCCCTTACAGTCAGAAACTGGGGAATTTATAATGGAGAACAAAGAGATGGCAGACTAATTAAATATATACTTTGGTTCTGCCTCACAAAGGCCTACATGTGACTCCAGACCCACAACAATATGGTTGACTCAACTGCAGTCTGGGCAATAAATGCTGCCTTGCCAGCGACGCCCTCATCCTATTAATGGATAAAGGGGAAAAAAATGGTAGGCTGCTCTAGAAGGTTAGGTCATGTGGAATATAAGGAAAGTTGGCAAATTGGATACACAGTTGTCTTGATGGTGGGAAGCAGAGAGTAACAGTGGAAGGATGCTTGTTGGACTAGAGGCCTGTGACTAGTGGTGTGCCTCAGGAGTCGATCTGGGCCCATTGATATAGATAACAAACAGCAATGATTTAGATGATAATGTACAAGGCATGATTCGTAAGTTTGTGGATGACACTAAAGTAGATGTTGTTGTGGACAGTGAGGAAACTTATCTGAAATTGCAGCAGGATCTTGATCAACTGGGCAAGCGGGCCCAGAAATGGCAAATGGAGTTTAGTATAGATAAGTATGAGGTATTGCATTTTTTAGAAAGTCAAATCAAGGTAGGAGTTTCATGGTGAATGACAGGGCCTTAAGGAGTGGTACAGAGGGACCTCTGAGTTCAGGTGCACAGTTCCCTGAAAGTGGAGTCACAGGTAGACAGGACGATGAAGAAGGCTTTTGGCACACTGGCCTTCATCAGTCAGGGCATTGAGTATAAAAGTTGAGAAGTTATGTTGTAGTTGTTAAGGACGTTGGTGAGGCCGCACTTGGAGTATTGTATTCAGTTTTGGTCCCTTTGCTATTGGAAGGATGTTGTTAAGCTGGAAAGAGTGCAGAAGAAATTTACAAGCATGTTGCCAAGACTCAAGGGACTGAGTCATATGGAGAGATTAGACAAGCTAGGACTTTTTTTCTCCTTTAGAGCATAGGAGACTGAGGGAGTTCTTATAGAATTGTATAAGATAAGTGTATAAGAGGCGTGCATAGGGTGAATGCACTCGGCCTTTTTCCCAGGGTTGGGGCATCAGCTTTAGGTAAGAGGGGAAAGAATACATGGGAACCCGACGGGCAACTTTTTCACACAGAGGGTGGTAAGCATATGGAATGAGCTGCGAGTGGAAGTGGCTGAGGTGGATACACCTACAACATCTAACAGGCATTTAGACGAATACATGGATAGGAAAGGTTTAGAAGGATATGGGCCAAGTGTGGATGGATGTTTTGGTTGGCATGGACCAGTTGGGCCAAAAGGCTTGTCTCAGTGCTGTAGGACTCTATGACTGAAATAAAGGATAAGTGGGTTAGCAAACTGAATGACCTGCGCCTTTTACTTAGTAAAACAGAAGTAATCTGCGCTTACCTGGAGATCCTAATTATTGTCTTTAAACTCTAACTTTCACCTCTGCACTCCTGGTAGACCATTGCTACCTCTCGGCAGCACTGAATCTGACTTTTAATGTGACAGGCGCCAATAGTTAATTCATTCACGTCTGTTGGCTACTGAACTGTAAGTTAAGTTGCAACTGAAAATGTCAGCAGCTGGAAAATGTGGCAGTCTGAAGTCTGATGTGAGAAATATGCTGGTCCATATCGAAATGTAAAATGATTTGGTCCATTGTTGAGAAGCCAAGCCACATTGTTGGCAAGTATGTCTCCTTTTATCTCGGGAGTTTTTGATCCACCCCCAGTCCCTCATTCTTCTTCTTGTATGTCTTCAAGCACTTTCATCTTGGTTTTCTTCATGCAGTTTGTTTTCTGCAGAAACCTGAAGCTTTCCCTCATATTTCTGAAGTTTTGCTGTTACCTTTCTTTGCATATTTTCTCCCTCAATTTCTTTGCTTTTGGACAGGGTTTATCCGTGAAGATCTCTGCTGTGCTTGCACATGCTCTTGCTTATTTTGCTGTCTGCCTCAGACGCATTCACACTCAGATAATTAAATGTATCCTTTGCACAAAATTTTCTGGATGAGTTCAAGCCCAGAAAATCTAGCTGGCGATAACATCACATTTTAAACACCTTTAAGGGGTCTTTCGGGTAAATCCAGATACTTATGAGCAATCTGATAACCAAATGTAGAGTCGTAGGATGGGCCAGATATTTCATTTTGTTTCTGAACCCATTTCTCTCAATTTCCTGATATCTGTCAGAAATTATTATTGTAGATGAAATGTATCCAGGTGGCTGGTTCTGGTGATCCGGTTATTTTGTGATATGTTGGAAAGCCTACCGAAGCCAAAAGAACCAAACGTGTTAAATAGAAAGTGGGATTGGTTGTGTGTTGCCTCAAATAGGTCTGGTGCAGTACATTCATGATCCATAGCACAGTAAAGAATTACAGGTTTGCACAGCCTAAATAAATGTGAGAAAATAAATGCCAAAAATAGATTATGGAATGTTTAAATTTAAATGAATTTTTAAGAGTGGATGAAATTTTATTTGATTCTTTTTCTTAATTGAGCAATTCTCTCTCCTTCCAGATCAATCTCAGTTGAAGTGGATTTGTCAAGTATAAGTGCACAGCCATGTAAATTTTACAACAGAAGTACCTCCATTATTATTAACATGGATTTTCTGAAACCAAAACAACTTTGACGTAACAGTTTCAAATATTAGGAAGAAAGTAGAAAGGTTTCAGTTTTAATCATGACTACCTCACACATGAATGGACATGTTACAGAGGGACCAGAAAGTGAGATGAAGAACATAGATCTTTTATCTCATGATGAGCCACCAAGACACAGAGAAATGGCAGTGGATTGTCCTGATGACTTGGGCTCACGGACCATGCCTGTACGCCGAAGCGCTCAGTTGGAAAGAATTCGCCAACAACAGGACGACATGCGTCGTAGACGAGAAGAAGAGGGAAAGAAGCAGGAGTTTGAACTTAATTCTTCCATTCGACTGAAAAAACTAGCCCAAGTTCAACCAAAAGTGGGCATTGATAACCCTACATTTGAGGACATTTTAGAAGGACCTAGCAACACGGTTAAAGTTCTAGGTACGTAAATGAAAATGAGTGAAAAACTAATCTCTTAGCTACTGTATATAGTTTTTTTTAGTTAAATATTTTTCTAAAAATGACCCTCAATCTAGATACAGGGTATTTGACATTTTTAAGTTTTTCTGTTTTGTAGATTTAATGAGCTTTTGTGTGGCATTAAGATATTGACAATCTGAGGTAATATTTCATAGTAATTTGAGTGTCATAGTGCAGCAGAAATGTTCTGTAAATTGTAAGCTTCTACAGATTTTTCTTGTATCTTGACATATAAATTAAATGAGATAACAAGGTGTAGAGCTGGATGAACACAGCAGGCCAAGCAGCATCAGAGGAGCAGGAAAGCTGACGTTTCAGGTCGAGACCCTTCTTCAGAAAATCAATTATAAATTATAAATTATAAATTAAATGGTTGCGTTCTTTTTACATCACGTACAACAACAAAAATAAAACTTCTGGTGGAAAGTTAAGCACCCAAATTACAGGAAAGAAATGCTCTTAAAATTCTGCAGTAATGTTTGTTATGGACCAGACCAAGCCCCCTTCAATTATATCAAGGATCTAACCTAGGCCCTAAAATTATCTGATTTAAAAGGAAGTATAAGGTGCTGTATTCCAGATGTAATTCACTTGGTTACACTACTTGGCTTTAAGCAAAATGCACTTTATTCTTACCCTACAGTTAAAATACAAGCAAAAGAGAGAGGAATTGGTATAGCTTTAATTCTGTTGGAAAACTTAACAGAATAATTGATTTATTTAACTACTAAACAGCAACTGTTGCAGTATAGTAACATCCCTTCAACACATCTTTGGCAAAGGCAAACTCTGTAAAAATAGATTGTCTCACATACAATGTTTCTCTAGCCAGGAAGAAAGAACATCAAGAGAAAATTCTGGTGTCCAGAGAGAGACAATTCAAGTGTTTTGCTGTAGAAGGGAGAGAGAGTCATGTGACAGCATAAAATCCCAACAGCTATTGAAAGCTAAACTAAAACCCTGGTTCTGTGGGAACCTGACTCCACTCATTCATGCTGCATCTATTATTCCAACTTTTTTTTTAAAAAAACTTAAGGCCTGAAGCTGTTCACTTATTGGCTTTGAACAGACTGCTTGTTACCTCTGTCTCAACCTCTCTTCATCCTTTTTAAAAAAAGAGAACAAAATACACCTTGTAAAGTCATCGTCACAAATTTTCCTTTTTAATGCACAACAGCTTTTGTCAACAGAAATTGTAAGACTGCAACAGAATGTGATTTGTCCCGTCATAATTTTGCTATTACTATTTCCCAAACTATTCTTATCCTAATTTCCCAGCTCTGTCCTGTGAAAACATGATCAAGGAGATGAAATGGGCCATTCTGTCCCTCAAACCTGCTCTGCCATTCAATAAGATTTAAGGCTGATATGATCAAAATATCAAATCTTCATTGCCATCTATACATCAGTAACCTTTCACCCCTTTTGATTTAACAAGGATCTATCTATATCTGCCTTAAAATATTCAAGAACTCTGCTTCTACCAGTTTTTCAGGAAGAGTGTTCCAAAGACTCCATTAGCTCTAGAATACATAGTGTTCATCAAATTCCTACTTAAGTATCATTAGTTCAACTTAAATAAATATTCCATGTGCTAACAACACTGTTATTTCTTTCTCACCTTTTCTAGTATCTCTTGCCTGGCAATTTTGAATCCAGGCCCCTTTGTTTCTGATTTCCAAGATGATCTTTGAACCTGTCTTTTTTTTTGTTTTGGTGAACATAGTTCACCCATCTGAATAGCTGCCACAGTCTTGTTGGATTTTTGTAGTTCATTTCATACTGATGACTGGTGATGGGCAATGTTTCAAACATTTCTTTACTCAATATCAAATGAAATGGGCAATTTCATAGATACTATTTGAAATGGTTGTTTGCAAAATTAGATTTCTTTGTAATTCTACAAGTAATAAATATATGTTTATATTGAATAGAAATTGAAGACCTTTTTCTTCCATTTAAATGCTCAGTAGCTTAGATCAGATTATGAAGCTTTGACAAGTGTGGGCTTGCAATTTTGAAAAATGGGAACTTTTTCTGCAGTGTTAATAATGTTATTAACAGTGTTAATAATGTAAACTAAGGTTAGTCTTTTGAAAGTGTGTTACTTGATGCTGCTTGTGCATATTATTGTTTCACTTCTGACATCCTCCTCTTTATTTTAAAAAAAAACCTTAACACCTCTATTTCATGTGTTTTCATGAAACATTGTTCCATGTCAAATCCTCTTTCTTCTCCAAAATGTTTGAATATGTTACCTGTCAGCCCATGTCCCTTTTTTTTTGCACCTTCTGGTTTAAATTGCTTTAGTTTGGCTTGTGCCCTAGCCACAACAGTAAAATGGCTCTAATCAGAGATGAAACTGTACTGTAGTTCCCACTAATCAAGTTCTTCACAAGGATTTAGCATAAATAAGACATTGATGCACATTACAGTTGAACACTGGAATCGTCACTTTTGATTCATCCCTCGCTGACATCTCTGCAGTCCTTGACGTGACTGACCTGCCTATCGTCCATCATCTTCCAACTCCATGAGACGCTCATCACTTGCCTTTACCATTGCATCATCTTGAAAATGTGGATCCAGGAATGCTGATGACACCTAACTCTACCTCATTAAATACTCTGCTGCTATACTGCTTGTATGTTATTCCTCCATTTGGAAAGTCAGTATGGTCCCTGACTCCATTTCCCTTTTAAGACACCTTCACAGGATGAACCAGACTGTTCACAGCGTTCGCAACTGCTTGATTGAGCTAAATTTCCATCCATATCCTCTTCAACTGATTTCATCTCCAATACACTGTTTGGCTCTGTCTATACAACAACGTACATGTCAGAATCCTCAATGTGCCTTCAGCACCTTCTAGATTTCATGGCTTTACGGTCTCCCATCCTTTACCTGAAAGCAGTACTAACTTACTGCAGGTTCTACTTGAAGGTTTGCCTGCATTAAGTCTTTTCACCAATTCTGCTGTCCTTGACGTGTCAGCTCCTAACCTTCCTTAGTTTGAATTTAAAATTATTACTGAGTTTATAAATTCATTTCTGCTGCATCCTCCCAACATCCATGTTATTTTCAAGAAGCACTTAGATGTAGTTCTTGGGGCTGAAGGGATCAAAGGGTATGGAGCAAAAGTGGGAATAGGGTTTGAGTAGGATATCAGCTATGGTAATATTAAACACTGGAGCAGGCTTGAAGGTCTACTCCTGTTCATATTTTCCATGTTCCTATATTGCTCCATTGCTTTGGCTGCAATTTGACCTATGTTAGTGAGCATTTGTGGAGATACTTTGTTTATTAAATAATTCTACTGACAAGGCTTTTATTTCCTTAACCCTAGAAATAGATGAACTGCTGTCTTCTCTAAAACACATACAACACAGCCTAGTTGACAGCCAGAGTCAGGATGATGTGACTCTCATTTTGCAACTGGTTCAGAACCGGGATTTTCAAAATGCGTTCAACATTCACAATACAGTAGCCATTCACATGCACAAGATGAGTCCACCATACCCTGTGAGTGGCAATGCACAGGATCTATCCCAGGAGGTAAGTTCATTGCCAAATGAATTAATGAATTGTAATTAAACTTTTTTCATCTTTGTTTTTAACTGTAGCTTTTGAAGATTTTGACTTAAATTGTGATGTTAAACTGGTGCCTGCAAAGTGTTCCTTTGGGAGAGCAGTTGTTACTTACTTACAGTTCTACTGCAATGACAGCATCTCCAGAGTTCTCTACTCTGCCATCTGTCTACCAAAACACTCTAGCTAGCTCCCTCCCTACCTGTTCATCATCTGTATGGTACTCTTTTTGAGAAGAGTGGGTTCATCTTCTAAATGTGAGATGGTATAACCACCTGATAATTTTTGTTGTATTATTGCATTCAAGTATCCATGCTGCAGAAGCTGGCATTTTATTCAGCTGGCCTCTGAAACTGCAGCTTTCTTGCTTGGAATTCATTACTTTTATTCTATTCCTCTTCTTGGCTCTCAATGGTGCGCGTCCTTGTGCTTTAATACAGGAGTTAAGCTATAATGTAAAATCAGGACATTTAAGAATACTGCATTGCCCTTACTCAACCCCCCAGAATTACCAAGATGCTTCTCCTATTAAGCATTTGATCTATTTCTCCTATTACTCTTTTTGAAATGGGTTGCTATAGCAATTTGTAAACAGAATTTATCGTGCAACCATGCAGGAGCTCAAGGGACTCCTCGAATCAGTTTCGTGACCCAGGTTGGGCTGCTTCATATCTCTTAGCTACCTGTTTTCCCACAATCATGGGCTTGGGGTCGTGGAGAAAGGGTGTGGTCAGAAACCAAGCCAAGGTTGGCTTTCAGGGCCCAATTGGTGCTAGACCGGGGCAACAGATCAGGTCACCCTGGTTTCTCTGTCAGGAAATCCTACTTTCTCATCTGCCAAGAAGGCAGGTTCCTGGCCCAGTGGCAAGTTGAGGCCCTTAAGGGCGTTACTTGGTGGCAGGTCCTGAAGGTCATCTTCACCCAGATCTTAATTGCTGAGGTTTTGTGAAGGAAGTGAAAGTTCTCATGGGCCAACCTGCCCAATTATTTGTTCTTTCTACTACCTTCTTCCCCACCTTCAGGGAAAGGAAGGTTGTGCCTAGACTGTCACCGATGGGGCACAATGTTTGTAAATGGTTGTTTTTCAGGCTATAGAGCAATAGATGCTGAATTTCGCCAACGGTAAGCGCTAAGACAGTGCATTTTTGATGTGAAAACTCAAATATAAAAAACAAAATAGCATTTTTAACATTTGCTGATGACCACAAACCTGGAAGGGTAGCAAGCAGTGAAGATGATACCAACTTTACACAACCTAAAAGAACAGAGGATGCTGGAAATCAGAAACAAAAATAGAAATTGCTGGAAAAAACTCAGGAGGTCTGATAGCATTTGTGGAGAGAAATCAGAGTTAAAACATTTCTGGTTTAGTGACCCTTCAGATCATCTTCTTTGAAGATGATACCAATTGACAGGACAGCATGCAACCTACCGGAATGGTGAGACAAATCTGGTATTACAGTTTAAAAGAAGAGTGTCAAAGAAGTACTGAGTCACAGATGTAAGACTTTGACACAGGCTCTTTTTTAAATTATTTACAGGCTATGGGCATGGCTGGCTAGGCCAGCATTCATTGCCAATTCCTAATTGGCCAGAGGGTATTTGAGAGTCAACATGTTTTTGAGGTTCTTGTACCATGAACCGGAGTGAGAGACAGAAACTGTAAAATGGCTTTCCATTGTCTTTATTCTGAGAGCTTGCTGCTACATGGTTCTGAGCTTAAACTCTCTCTATCTCTTTTCCTTACAGTAGCTGTGGATTCTTTTTATACCAGATTGTACCAGATACAAAGTCCTACAGTTATCGGATCCGCTATATAATCAAGTTTTTTAACAGGGTGTTCTTATTATAATTCTTTTACAACTGGTATCTGTTTCCCTTCAGGGGTTTGTTTGTCGTATTGGGGCAGGTACTTGAAAATGACCTGTAAGTAACTGCTAGAAACTTTAACCCTGATACAATTAAGTTTCTTTTAACTCTTTCCTGCCATGTGGGCTTCTGCTAAACCCCACAACATTGCTAAAGTCATATGTAGGCCAGACCAGGTAAGGATGGCAGCTTCCTTCCCTAAAGGACATCAGTGAGCCAGATGGGCTTTTCCTGACAATTGACAATGGTTTCATAGTCATCATTGCACTTTTCATTCCAGATTTTATTGAAGTCAGATTCCACCATCTGCCATGCAGGTCTGTAGAACATTGTCTGTGTGTCCAGATTAATAGACTAGCAATGATTCCACAGAAAGATATTTCTCATTCACTGTCGTAATGATCTTGAACCGACTGCATACTAGAATGGTGGAAACAGATGATTGGTGCTTTCACAAATAAATTTGATGGGTACTTGAAGGAAATAAGATTGTAGGGCTACAGCAATAAAATAGGGGAATGCTATACACTAGATTGCTGTAAAGAGAGCTGGCATAGACCCGATGGTCTGAATGAGGCTGCCTTCTGTGCTGTAATGACTTCATGACTATGATGGTTCAAAGGGAAATGTTCAGACGGCTTTCAGAAGACAAGGCAATGTGAGTAGTTAAGTTGATTTTTCAAGTGTTGCCATGCCCCAAGAACAGGAGGAAGCCTTGCATTGTCTCTTCCTTCATTTGGTTTTTCCACTTTCTACTTTTGAATGTTGTCTCTCATTGGCCGTTTATGTCTGTAGATTATTTCCTCTGCTGGGCGAACAGGAGAGAATATACAATAAGTAAATGAGTCGTAAGATAGTATCCCTTGTAACTGACCCTAATACACAGTTCTATAAAATGGTTAGAAAGAATATTGCATATAGTATGAAGAATTTGATCAAGCAGGTGCTCTTGAAATTAATGATGTGTTGCTGATAATTATGGCTACTTAGCATCAAATTTCAACCTGCCTCTGAGAACATAAACCTGAACATGCAACAGTAACGTTTAATATTATTAAATGATCAAAAAGATAGCTATTCTGTTCTGGGTCTAACTGCCTCCATGCCAGAAATGTTGAAATGTCAGGTTTCCTTGCATATCCAAAGCTTTGGAAGTGTTTTTTGATCCTCTGTACTTCACTTTCCCACCATCTGTCAATAAGAAAATGTGGAAGTGATTTTTATAGTTATCGTTTTGCAACATTGTGATAGCATGTGTTTCCATGCTAAATTTGAACTGGTTGCAGTGTTTAACTGATAAGCATAATTATTATGTATAGTTTTTTAACCTGATGCGCTTTCATCCATAACAATTTCATAGGTTTTTACTTCCGTCAATGAGCATTATCTCATTTTCTATGTATACTGTCTCTTGCAGCTAGACTTGCAGCTAGATGAAAAAATTTCCGAACCTTTTGCTAAATCCAGACATCATTATGCAAACATGTTAAAAAGATGGTGCTTTGTCATAGCCTTTTATTGAAATTGAGATCTACTGTATGTGGTGTTCATCACTATACCTTTTCTTTTAAGGTGCAGAAGATTTTGACCATTAGTCACCAGAAAGATGGACAGGAACTCTGTGCTCTTCTTGCATCACCACACTTTGAAGTATGTGGCTTCAGTTATTTTTGTTAATTCTTCTACTGCATATACTGTTTCTACAAAGAAGTAAACGGTTCAAGGTTGGCTCAGCTCAATTGGAGAAATTTAATTTGAACTGCTGGATGGACCTTTGCCAACTAGCGTAGTTTGGCTTACTGGCTTGACTGAGAGACTAATTGCTTAACTAAATGCTTATTTAGTTGGACATCTTCAGGTTTTAGGAACCAAGTATATAGAAAAAAGTCCTTGATTTTAAAGATTTGGCTTTTATTCCTGTTTAAAAAGACAGCTAATTTAATTATATAGGAATAGATGTTGGAGAGGAACATGGTCAGATGTCCTTCAGGGAAGAAAACCTGCCATCTTCACCTGGTCTGACCTACATGTGACTCCAGACCAAAGCAATGTGGTTGACCCTCAACTGTTCTCTGAAATGGCCTAGCATGACACTGAGTCGTAGCAGTTGATACAATATCTCCGTAAAGAAATGAAACTGAGCAGGTTACCTGGCATTATCCTAGGCACCAGAAAAGGCAACAGAAACAGCCCTGTCAACCCTGCAAAGCTCTCCTTAGTAATATCTGGGGGTTATTACCAAAATTAGGAGAGCTGTCTGACAGCCTAATCAAATAACAGTCTGATAGTCGTCAGGTACAATTCTGTGAATGTGACTGTCCCAAATGCCACCATTACCATTCCTGTACATGCCCTGTCCCACTGGCAGGACAGACCCAGCAGATGTAGTGGCACAGGGGTATACAGTCTGGAGGGAGTTGCCCTGGGAGTCCTCGACATTGACTCTGGACTCCATGAAGTCTTGTGGCTTCAGGTTAAATGTGGGCAAGTAAACCTCCTGATTACCACATACAGTCCTTCCTCAGCTGACGAATCAGTGCTCTCTATGTTGAGCAATAATTGGAGGGAAGCACTGAGGTTGGCAAGGTTGCAAAATGTAGACTAGGTTGGGGAGTTTGTGTCCACCACCAAGGGTGAATTTGGCAGCAGCACTACTGATCAAGCTGGTCAGGTCCTAAAGATCATGGCTGCTAGTCTGGGTCTGATGAAACCAACGAGAGAAAAACGTACTTAGAACATAGAACATAGAATGTGTAATCCTTACAGTGCAGAAACAGGCCATTTGGTTCATTTGAGTCTGGACCGACCGACCAAAGAGCATCCCGTCCAGACCCATCTGACCCCTAACCTTATTCACTGTAATCCTGCATTTTCCAAGACTAATCCACGTGACCTACACATCCCTGAGCACTAAGGGCAATTTAGCATGGCCAATCCACCTAACCTGCATATCTTTGGACTGTGGGAGGAAACTGGAGCACCCAGAGGAAATTCACATGGGTGCGGGGAGAACATGCAAACTCCAGACAGAAAGTTGCCCAAGGCTGGAATCGAAGCCAGGTCCCTGGCGCTGAGAGGCGGCAGTGCTAACTACAACCACCGTGCCACCCCGTACTTGACCTCATCCTTGCCAATCTGACAGCTGCAGATACATGTGTCCATTACAGTATTGGTAAGAGTGACCACTGTATGGTCCTGGTGGAGACAAAGTCTCACTTTCACATTAAGAGCATCCTCCGTTGTGTTGTGTGGCACTATCACTGTGCCAAATGAGAGACTTGGAACAAATCTAGCAGCTGAAGACTGAGCACCCATGAAGCACTGTAGGCCGTCAGTAGCAACAGAATTGTACTCCAGCACTATCAGCAACCTTATGGCCCAATGCATTCCCCACTCAACCAATACCATTAACCCATTAATGGAGAGTGCAGGAGGGCATGACCGGAGCAGCACTAGGCATACCTAGAAATGTGTTAACCTGGTGAAGTTACCAAACAGGACTATTTGCATGTCAAAATGCATAAGCAGCAACTGATAGACAGATCTAAGCAATTCCCACAGCCAGCAGATCAGATCTAATCTGTGCAATGCTGCCGCATCCAGTCATGAACAGTTGTGGGCAATTAAAGAACTCCCTGAAGGAGGAGGCTCCGCAAATATCCCCATCCCAATGACTGAAGAGTCCAACACATTAGTGCGAAAGATGAGGCTGGAACATTTGAAACAATCTTCAGCCAAAAGTACCAAGTGGATGATCCACCTCAGTCTCCTCCAGTGGTCTGCAGGATTGCAGATCCCAGTTTTCAGCCAATTAGATGTGCTCCACATCCAAGCAAGAAAAGCTTGGAGGCATTGTATATTGCAAAGGCTGTAGGTCCTGACAAAATTCCAGCAATAAGACGTAAGACTCCTGCTTCAGAACTTGCCATACTCTTAGCCAAGCTTTTCCAGTACAGTTACATCCCTGACATCTACCCAGCAATGTGGAAAATTACCCAGGTATGTCCTGTACACTAAAAGGAGAAGAAATCCTGCCCCCACCCCACCCTGCCACACCATCAGTAAAGTGAGGGAAGATGTCATCGACAGTGCTATCAAGCAGCAACTGCTCAGTGATGCCCAGTTTGGTTTCCAGCAGGTCATTCTGTTCCTGACCTCATTACCTGGGTTCAAACATGGACAAAAGAGCTGAATTCCAGAGGTGAGATGAGACTGACAACCTTTGATATCAAGGCCCCATTCAACTGCGTGAGTGTGTCATCAGGTAGCCCTAGCAAAACTGGAGGTAATGGGATCACAGGGCAAACTCACCATTGGTTGGAGTCATACCCAGCATGTAGGAAAATGGTTGGGGTTGTTGGAGGTCAGTATTTCTGTTCCAGAACATCTTTGCATCAGTTCCTCAGGGTAGTGTCCTCTGCCCAACCATCTTGGGCTGCTTCATCAATGACCTTCCCTCCATCATAAGGTCAGAAGTGGAGATGTTCGCTGATTGTGCAGTATTCCGTACCATTTGCCACTCCTCAGATAGTGAATCAATCCATGTTCAAATGCAACAAGATATGGCAGTGTCCAAGCTTGGACTGATGAGTGGTATGTAACATTCACACCATACAAATGCCACACAATGGCCATCTCCGATAAGAACCAATCTAACCACCGCCCATTGATGTTTAATTGTGTTAGCATTACCACAAACTTAACTGGACTCCCCACATAAACACAATGGCTACAAGAGCAGGTATGTGGCTAGGAATACTCCAGTGAGGAAAGTCACCACCTGACTCCCCAAAGAATGTGCAGCATCTACATTTTGCTTCTTATTGTTTTCTTTAAAATCATTTAATAAAATAATTTACTTCTAACCTATTAGGAAAATTAGAGCAATAATAAGATATTTGACGTACAAAGCCATTATTAGACGGGTTTGTCATACCTTGTACATTCAGGGAGTTGGGGGAGGGTGAAGCAGGGAATCAGTTAGCTCAGTTGGCTGGACAGCTGCTTTGCGATGTGGAGTAATGCCAATATCGTGCATTCAATTCCCACACTAGGTGAGGTCACCGTGAAAGGCTGTCATTCTCAACCTCCTCTTCGCTGAGGAGTTTTGATCCTAAGTTTAAACCATCATTAATCATCTCTCTCTCCAATGTGAGAACAGCCTTCTAGTCTAGGACTATGGCAACTTTACCTTTTTACGTACAATCAGCAAGTTGCTGATACATGAAATATTTATTAGTATTGTTTCTGTTTAAGTAATGTGAAGGGAAAATAAAACAAAACTAACAGCTGTGGATGCTGGAGATTTGAAACAAAAGGAAGTGCTGGAGAAACTCCCAAGTCTGGTGGCATGTGTTGAGAGAAAAACAATTAATGTTTCGAACCCAGTGACACTTCGTCAGAACTGTTCTGACAAAGAGTTGCTAGAATTAATGTTAACTGTGTTTTCTTTCTAAAGATGCTTCTAGACCTGCTGAGTTTCTCCAGTAGTACCTGTTTTCATTGAAGGGGAAAGGTTTTACTGTTTGTGGTACAGCATTGAGCAAATTTTAAGTGTTATGTACTCAGTCTTTTTTTGGTCTCTGTTTCAGGCACTACTTCAAGCCCATGATGGAGTAGCACAGCAAGAAATGTTACTAGAGCCGTCAAATAATGACCATGTGTATGAGAGAGTAGCTGAGTATGGAGGAGAGACTGTGAAAATTGTTCGGATTGAGAAAGCACGTGATATCCCCCTTGTGAGTATCAAGTTCTGCTCCTATTTTTTTTACATGCAATCACCTTTACGTGAGATACTGGAATAACAAACAGGTTGTTCCTGAATAAGTACTGTAACTTCACCTTCATCAATTATCATAAGTCAATGTCTCTTACAGTGCAGCAATGGCCACAAGTAAGCAAAGGATACATTATTAAAATGACACAATACTGCCATTTTAATAATTTCACTTCAGGTTTGTATTTAAAAAAAATAGAGATTGGGATTTACTTGTGAATTCATTGCTTCTCTCTATTTTGATGCTATTTATTTCCATAAAGTGTAATTCAAGCTGCAAACTAGTGTGGCTATTAGGGTTCTCATTTGGAAAAGTGACTGAACCCCTCGCTGTGAGGCAGTTGAATTAAAATACATCTTGGGTGTCAAGTCCTTTGGATTTGACTATTTTTACATGTTGGAACTCTGTAGTCTTGTTCTGTAATTTCTTAATACCACTTTTGCTTAATCATCTCATTAGGGCTTGCTCAGATAAAATGCCAGAAGCAGACACAGTTTGATAATCGCGTTACTTTTCTGCAATTTGGAAAGCATGCAGTGATGGAATTATTCTATTTTAGCACCCTATATGTAGCAGTCTCCCTGAGTACGATATATCAGCAGACATCCATTGATCCAGGAAAAGAAAGGAAGAAAGCAAAAAGTTCCTTGATACAAATCCCATTGTTTGAAATAAAGGCTTTGAAATAGAAACCAGGGCTGCAGTGTGACCACCTCCACCACTGGTCCCTTAGTGCAAGCCCCTGACGCGCTTGTGGAGCGTGACAAGCAATGTTAGACAATACCAAGGAGTACCCTCTGTGCAGACAAAGTGGTAGTTAATCACCTTAAACTCACCACATGAGCAGGCTATCACTTGGCAACAGGGATATGTGTTCACTAAGCAAAGCCAATGGCAGCATTCTCATAGATATTCCAACAATCTTGGGAGAAGAGCAATTGCATTATTAAAGCAAAGGAAGATAGGTGAATATAAATGTAGAATCCTCCGGATGTCCTTGAGGTGAAAGGTTTTAACCTGACACTAAGGTTGGTTAGCTGATTTCTTAGGTGCAGCCAGGAGTCGTGAATATTGCAGTTTTTCTGCAAGCAGGTTTCAATGCGACTTTTTTGTTTTTTTTTTTGCGTGGGAGCCTGGACAGCTTTATTCAGAGAGAGAGAGAAAAACAGAGACAGACAGCGATTATTGGAGGCACCAGCTTCTCTGTCAGTAATTTCCAAAGTTCCCAGAACCTGTCTTGAAACACATGGTCCAGTGTGTATCAACAACAGGTCCTTTTGGCTGGATCCATTTATAATAGCCATGGTTTCAATATCCAGTACATAGCATTTATTAATATCGTCTTAAGACCATAATAGATTTTGATGCGTTTGAATTGTGCCGAGTCTCTCTTTGTGCATCGCTATCGCCTCCCCAAGTAAAAAGGATGATTTGATGGTTCTCTCACTTCCATCTTGAAGTGATTTTGCATTTTTAAGCAGTTTGCCTTTCTTGGTCAAATCTGCTACGGTTCCAACCAGTTGAAAGTTTTAAAGTTCGTATTTTCACACAAAGGAATATAATCTCTCAATGGCTGTTGTAAGTGGTTTAGCCATAAACTGCAGATTTTCAAATGTAATGCTAAGACTGGTGAAACAAAGCCAATGATACCGTCTAAGGAATCAAACATCAATAAATTGGATCTCAAAAATTTATACAAATAGTTGTATGTATGCATTTGCCCATCTACTTAGGTAATCTATTTGTTTTAAGGAGAAGTCTTCACCATACAGCCTCTTGGAAGCATGAATTTGATGTTTCATATCATTTAATTGTCATAGCACTGGCATTTCACGTGAATGAATCACTTGAACATGTAATTGAAACAAGTTTCACACAAATTAGTTTGTTTTTAGCAAGGTTTATTTGTAAATGTTCACACTAATAATGACATGCATATGCATAACTGTGCAGCTTTCCAACTGAATGGCTAGCTTTATTGAATTACATAGTCACCTTGTTACCGGTACATTGGATACCTTAAGTTTTTGTTTTGAAATTTGGTCCTCAGTTAATGAGTTTGTATTTTTCTTTAATACATTTGAAAACCCATTATATTAGATTGCAATATTTAGAAGTTCAACATGGTGAGTTTTTACACAAGATTAATCTATTATTTTACAAGTATGCTGTACCAGAGCACTGCTGAGTATTCAGGATGTGTTATGATCTTAACTTAAAAAGCCAACTTCTCTAGGTTTTGTTCGTGTTTAGTGACTGTAAACTGCAGTGTATCCAAGGGATTATTCTTAAATTGTGAATTAGAATAATGGATATAGATGCAGCAACGTTCCTGATTTTAGTGGAACTTAGTGATAGAGTCATACAGCATGGAAACATACCAGTAAGGAATAAATGGTATACATATTAATTTCTAATAGAATATTAAAGAACTTCCCAGTAATCGAGTGATTTTCCAAAAGAAGAGATGCCTGGCCAACAGGAGTCTTGCTTTCCATCAAGATGTGTTAAGAACTTGAAACCCATGGTTTTCTGCCCTTTTGTAAAGAGTGGAATAACTTTGTATAACTGCAGTTTCTTTATCTGCACAAGTGATTTGCAAAACCAAGCTTGACCTTCCAAGGTATGTTTAGAGGGATATGGGCCAAACGCAGGCAGGTGAGATGAGCTTGACTGATGTTCTTGTATTTGCATTTGGAGCAGGTGTCATTAGAGAATAATAACTAATTCATTTCACATCAAATGATTTTCCTACTGAAGTTTGTGATTTTGTGGCCAATTATAGTATTACTAATCTAGTGGTTGAGATTAACCAAGTCAACATGGACCACGATTGAAAATCAGACCTAACTTAGCTGAAGGACTGTGCTTGAATTTGAGGGCCATTTCCTAAATACTCATTAGACACTTCACATTGAATAGAATTTGTCATTATTTTCCTTCCTGATTTTTCTCCTTCCTCCACTGGAGAGATCTGCATCATGGTGCTAAAGCCAATTCTGATTATCGCAGGTGATATTCAACTAAAGAATACCTCTAAGAATACCATGGTAAGCTTGGCCTAACTACTAACTGGTAAAGTAATTGACCCATCAAAGTTGCAACACAACATTATGATGTGTACTACAATGTGATACACGTTCTTGTGTGGCATAAGACGGCAATGTTTGGTTTCAAAAGCTCATTTCAGTTGTGAATACATAGGATGCTAAAGACCATTCCTGGAAATATACATTGTACTATGTTTGAGAGTTTTTGTTATTCATTCATAGGATTTTGTTGTTGGCTGAGCCAGCATTTTTTATTGCCAATCCCAAATTGCAAGTGTTAACCACGTTGTTGCGAGTGTACAGTCACATGTAGGCCAGATCAGGAAAAGAGACAGGTTTCCTTTCCTGAAGGACATGAGTGACCCAGATGAGGTTTACAACAAATAGCAATGGTTAAATGGTTGCCATTTGACTAGTCTTTAATTTCAGATTTTATTGAATTCAGATTTCACTGTCTGCTTTTCAAACCCATATCCCCAGAACATTAGCCTGGGGTTTTGGGTTATTCATGCCCTTCATTGCACTAAACAGTAACCACAGGATGTAGTTGAGAACTTCCAAAAAGTACAATTGATTTTTTTTCTTTGTTTCATTCTGTGGTGCGTAACAATTTAGCATAGGAGTAGTAATAGGTTGTAAAGAGACAATCTGCTTTTGCAGATTGGCAAGAGTTGAGACGGGATGGATAAAATAAATGTGTTGTAACTTCTGTAGAGTTGCAACTGCTGTCATTGCTTTAAATTCAAAATTGCACATTCAAAAATGAGAGAGCACTTGTGATATGAGATATTTGAGCACCATGTTAGAAATTAAAATTTGACTTGTGACGCTTCATTTGACTGACTTCCCCATACAATGTATTTGGATGGAGTGAACAAATGAAATCACAATTTTGTTTGAGAAGCTTTTACTTGAGTGTAGTGTAAAATTAATGGATAACAGTAGAAAAGGATTTGGAACATAACTTCATCTAATCCTATGGAATATGAAATCTGTGTGCACGTACCATTTGATAATTACAGGATTGATTCACTCTCCAGAGAGCAGATTCAAGATTACAGAGTTCAAAATTTAACAGCGGCATGGCAAGAAGAAATGTAGTGCCAAGGCATAAGGTGTATTTCAATAGCTGATGAAGTTAATTTGAAACCTCATGCATCGTACAGGTTGAGTATTTATAATCTAAATTTTTGAGACCAGTTTATGTTTGGTATGTTGATGAGTAAATACTAAGTTGGAGAGTCTTAAAATCAATTTTTCCATGTAACTGTCCTTTAATTTATTGTGGGGGCAGGTGGATTAGTAGATTAACTGATACTTGTATGGTTATTCCTTGTAGTATAAAAATCTATTTCAGGATATTTATATTCTCCTTAGTTGGATGATAACATCTGGAAGGGATTCCCTTCAGTCTCCTTTTGTAGAGTGAGGAATCCTTTGCTCGTGTTGTAGAGTTAATCCACAAAATTGTTCTTGTGGTTCTCCTCCCATCTCAATCTGAATGAAGGTTAAGACAACAGAACTCACAGCAGCAAATTATTTTTAAATCCAATCAGCAGCTAAACTGACAACATCGCTTTGTTGTTCTGTGATGTCGCAAGATATTAATAATCACTGACAGCAATGTAAAATATAACTGCATTGCCATAATTATGAACTGTTTTAATGGCCTATGAGAAATCAGGAGCATATGGTGTTGGAACAAGAGGTTAGTGACTTTAAATTGATTAACAAAAGCTACAGATGACATGAAGAAACCTTTTACATAGCAACGTGTTGTTGTGATTTGGATTTCACTGCCTTGAAGTATGGTAGAAGCAGATTCAATGCAGAAGTTTAAAACACACTATGGGAAAATAACAGGCGTTGGACAAGCTAGTCATGGCTCTGTCGTACAACTGGCCGGGCAAC